CTACGTTAACAGCAATGTCCCATAAACAACCATAGAGTGAGGAACCAATTGTTTTGTGGGGGGTTTTGCCAGGACACTGAGAGAAACCTGCTTCTCTTTTCGAATAGTGCCATGGGATCTTTAACGTCCACCTGAAAAGGAAGACGGGACCCCGGCTGAACATCTCATAGTCATGATACAGCGCATTCCAGAGAACTCATGAGATCTATTAAGGTTTATTGTAGATTATTCAACCCTTTCATTTGCCAGGGAAGTGACCTTCTGATGTAAAGTCCTGTAGGTTTTCAGCAGAATACCAAAACGGGCCACTCATGCAAAATGATGACAATGCTTCTGTTACATTAAAATAGATAAGTGTATGTATCTCTGTGATGGACATGGGGACATCAGCACGTTGTACTTGGAAGTTGACCAGAATACTACACTTGGAGATATCACAGTGTTGAACAGTGATTTCACCAAAGTGCACTTGGTGAAGTCACAGTGTGACATACCAGGATAACCTTCACAGTGTTGTACGCTGAGATATACAGGTATGTGCATTAGAGACTAATAAATCATTGATCAATTTATCAACAGCAGCACTTATTGATTCGGCTGATTTTTGCCTGGAAAATATGACATTGAATAAAACGTAAAGCTCACAAATGATTGCCACGAGCTAGTCAATATACAACAACAATGCAGAATTTTTGTAAAACATAGCAATGTACAATAAAAAGAGAAAAAATGATTCTTACAAAGTACAGTGACACAAAAAAATTAAGAAGAGATGCAGAAGAGAAAGGTGACCTTAGAACTGGAGTATTTTCCTCTGCATTTGATTCCAATGTTGTTAAAAGGTTCATATCCTCGTCAGGTACATTATCCCTGTAACTGAGAACTTATATTTCATCTGAAGTTGTGTGCTTTTGCACACTACTTTCTTCTACTAGGTGCGGCCTAACCACATTACTCTTAGCAGCAGTGATAATATAAAATAATGAGAAAACTGCTCAGCTATTCTCAATGAAACAGCTATTGGCTTCAATACATAGACACCTGACGCAAGTTATTTTTCTCCTTGTTAATAAATTCTACTATCAAATACATTAGGGTCCATACAATTAGCCTCAGCACCCCAGGCAAGGTCAGGAACCTAAGCCAGGGTTACCACTTCTATCCAGAGACCACTGATGGAGCAGTACATGTGTGTGTGAATGGGATATGGAATAATTTGTGCAAAACAATTGGTGTGGAAAAAAGCTGTTTTCCAGCATCTAAAATGGTTCTTGCACCAACATCATGATGATGCTTGTAATTTAATGACACTCATGATGGCCAGGTACCAAATTGATGATCTCACCTCAGTAACCAGCATCGCGCAACTAAGTAGAGATGGGAGTGAAATCTTTACCTATATCTATAGCTGGTGATCAATTTATTGGAAACTCACTAAAGTGCCGTATCAGATAACTTTATCGGCCAGCAGAATTATAAACTTGGTGCTTTCTGCGCAGGGAATGGAGAGGAAAATTAAGACTATGAACTTGTGTACTTGGCTACGGAGCAACTTTGAAAGAACCTCTTGCCTCAAAGGGACGAGAAAGTGTTTTGCCCACAAAGTATGGTCAATTCATTTTACGGTATAAAGTGCAAGGCTTCAAGATGTCTCAACGACATGATAGGGCACTATGTCAAATGCAAGGAGTATTATTATTAAAACAGATTACAATAAAATCTGCACTTGATTTGGGTAAGCATGAACTAATATAAAACAGGATATTGTCTCAGAACTCATATTACTCAGAGCACTCAGTTTAGTGGTGAGTCAATAACTGATGGGTATTTAGTAATGAGTACTAAGATTTTCCCAAATAGATTTCCTCAGATCCTCTTCGAGCAGTTTACCTAGAATTGAAAAGCTCCAAAAAAGCTACTCGTCCCAACTACTTCATGTTGGTATTTTTACTTCACATGAGCTTCATCAATCCTAACCTCCTCCCCCCCGCACGCCCCCCCACCACACACACACACTATTCTATTCCCTTCTCTCTCATATATGCAAGTTTCTGTAGAGCAACTGCAAAAGTTAGAAACCTTTCCAACAAGGCCTTCAACTCACTGCTATAGATTTACTTTAAAGACAAGACAACACAATAAAACAGAATTTCCAGCTCCTCAAAGTAGAGAATTTGCACAAATCTTCATAGATACTATGAATGGGTTTCTATGTACACTTGAGTCCTTCAGACTTGCACTATCTGTTTAAGATAGTGAAATCGCAGTATTGGCAGCCTACATTTTGATTTTTCTATCACACAGATCATTAAAACTATATCTTAATACATCAGTAATACCATAAATTGGGGAACCACGTTAACTGTAACATTTGTCCTTCAAAAAGGTCAGGCACTTTTCATGCAAATGAGAACCTTTGAATAAAAGCTAAAGCTGCAGATTGAAAACTGTTCTAGTTTCCCGTCAGTGTATTGTAAAATAAATCAGACTGGCTTTCTGAGTAGATCATGTTGTGCATTAGATGCCACAAGTTAACAGTCTCTGAGAGGTGATCCGGTAAACACAATAACAGCAATTAATGAAACTCCTGGAATAGAAAAGAAGAAAATATGCCAAGCAGCATTTCAGGGAGTTGCCACTCATTGGCTCTATGTCATATACAGCTGTTTACTTGCAGCCTTTCAGTCTATTATGCAGTTCCTACACGTATAGGTATTAGTGCACAGAGTTTGTCATTTTGCCACCACAAATATGTATTTGTGCTACAGAGGTTTCTTCATCTAGGTAAAACAGTACTTTTTATTCATATCATAATGGGTTCACAAATTGGTTTTGATTTGTAATGCTGTCGCAACAATGCTGTAACATGGTAGTCGATCTACCCTACGCCCTGCAATGTCTGCAAACCTGCTTACCACTAAATATTACAATTGAGAATACTGGCAATGAAAGAATGAGTAATATTGGTGCTGCTTTCGCCTGTCTCTGCCAGTCTCTGCACATCACCCAATGCACACACTACATCTTCACTCCTTCTCTCAATGGACTACTGTGATCCCTTCAACTGCTGCTGTTGTTGATTTATTTATCAATACAAAATGACCCATTGTTGCAAACTGAGGTCTATTGTTGTGGGCCTTTGCAATCGGTACCTCTGGCAAACTGAGTCTCTTTGTGATAATGAAACACTGTATTCCACAATACAGTTGTTTCCTCTATCACAATATGCTGTTTCAATTGAGCACACTATAGTTTACTATAGTTTAATTAACACTGCAGATTCATAAATCAGGCAAGTATGGCACAAAAGATTAAATCAATGTCCAGTGTCGAATATCACTAATCTAATCCTATTAACAATTCTGCGCGCAAGAAAAATGACTATTGACAGCAGTCAAAACTTACTGCCCGATACAAATGATATCGAAATTAACGCTTATTGGATTCCAGTAATGTTTTCACATAACAGTCTGATATATTAGCAGGTAATGTTTAGGCCAAGCTGAAATTTGACTCGCAAGTGTCTGCATTGCTGGGGCTGAGAGCACAACAGCTCTCGCTCTCTGGTTGGGAGGGGCAGACAGAAACCCCATAGGGATGTGAGCTTTCAGAGACTGCTGTGTAGAATTTCCCAATTGTGCGACACTTACAATCCCCCTGGACATATTAAGCCAGGTATAGAATTGATTAATGAAACCTCAAATTGCACAACAATTAATGCAACTTGTGAATGAACGCACAGAAAGCGGGTCTGTTTTCATACTAAGTACAGTATTGTTTTCATCTTGTGATACGGTACTTAGTGTTTGGCTGAAAAGATTTTTTGGGGTAAGATGCAAAACACTAGATGTGCAACAGAACTAATCCATACTCTATGAAGATACATCCTTGTGATTGGATGCGAATATCCAGGCAGGTGATCTGATCTTCCTATTCGATATCAAAAACTGTAGGGAGCTCAAAATTAAGTTAATGTGTTACACGTTATATTCTTCCACGATGCAAAAAGTACCATTGCAGCATTCAGTAATTTCGTTGACGGGCTTAACCTGAAATTTTTGAAATGGTCTCATTCAGAAATTCCTTCTTAACATTTTCTCCAGTAAAATGGAGGTACTATTCTGTAAATAAGTCATGTGACAACACAACATTCAAAAATAGCATTGATAATTACCAATTAAATGCTATTACTGGCAATAATATCAACGCCTTATCTGTCTGATGGATTGCTCTGCACAGATGCTCTTACATTACAAACAAAATCACCCCCTCAGTGTTTAGGTGCTGATTCTGTACTGCTCTCTTTGTAGTAGTCTCAACAGCTTAAGAAAGAGATATCCATTTTTAAAAATTCTATGTAGTGCTACACCGTACCTTCACACAAAGCTATTGCGACGGCATTTGTTTCTTTATTGATTTAGCAAAACTTTTAAAAACAATTTTTTTTAAGACGCAATGAATTTTGCAAGAATGTGAGTGAATATGATGGGGTTTTTTTTACAGCTTAAGTCACCGGGGTTTGTTTGTGGTTTCTGTGGTTATCTGAAAAGAAAGCTTGTTACAATGTGTTTTTTGAGGGCTTTTTATTTTAAAACAAACAAAGGATTCAGAACAACTGTAAACACTGCCAATCTAAACAAAATTAATTGAATGAAATAGTATTTTAGTCCCCCCCCCCCCCCATTCAAGGTAAGCTAAGAGACATTTCCACATCTTCTACAAGCTTTCTGATTAAAAACACAGCCCCTTCCTAACAACCATCACACAAAAGGTGATGATCAACATATCACAGTGCAATCTGAACATGTTAACAATGTTCACATTGGCACGTTCTGACCAATAAATACCAGGTACACAGCCTTAACCACTGTATACCCCCATAACAGCACTGACTGCACACCCAAGTGTGTTTTGGCCAAAAAAAAACTACACTCTATTAAATTCTTCACTGGAAGATTAAAAATAGGAGAGGAGGAAAGAAAAAAAAGAGGCAAATTTACCTTGTTCAGTGGGCTGAGGACAGATATTCCCTCTTCTCTTCTTAAAATAGGTTGAATGTGCAGGAGAATCCAAGCTCAGCAGCTGTATAAGCAGCAGCTCTGAGATACCAGTCCACACCCAGCTTTGTCTTCAATCATCATTCTGTCTACAGGAAACAGCAGCTCTCCCACTTCCTCCTCTTTCTAGCTGTTGCAACTTCCCTTACTCTGAGTCTTTCACCCACCCCCACCCCCACCAATCTCTTGTTTCCCCCTTTCCTCTCCAGCCTTGCCCTGGGCAGATTATTTTTTGTTGCACCCTCTCTGCAGAGCCACTGACTTGCTTCACCAGCAATGAATGCTCTGAGCTCACTTGCTCACAAAAAGCATTCAGGAATTCATCAATCAGGGAGTTTGAATCTTATGCTGTACTGCCTCCCTGGCATATTAAACCAAAGATTAAAAAAAATATATCAGAGAGCATGCTTCCTCCCCCCCCCACCCCACCCTCACCCCCCTTCTGCAAACATAACCCAAAGATTGTGTGTGACTTTATTCCTCCCAGTTGTTGTGGGGTAGAAAGGGGGCTGTTTCCCTGCTCAGGGCTGCCTTGTCCAGCCTGAACAGCATATGCTGCTACATTTAAGACCATGAGCAGAGCTGTGTCTCCCCCACTCCCCTCCCATTTGCACAGAATCTGGGGCCATTATCACAAAGGGTTTTTTTTTGCAATGTTCCTGTGAGGGACACATTGGACTGCAATAAAATGGATTTCCCCAGTGCTGCCATAGCAACTGTGAATGACTGATTTCCTGTGTTGTTCATGTAAATGCAGCAATACTGACTTTGCTCAGCAGAGAGGGAAGACAGTAATCAAACCCTAATCCTCCTCAATAAAATATTTCATTCCTTTCGCCTGTACTCCGTGCACACAGTTATGGATTTGTGCATCAGGGAAAGCCAAGGCAGGACTGGTAGTCAGAAAGGCACAATTTCGCAAGACTTTTCACTAAATACATTTTTGCTATTTATTGGATACTTCATTCATTGACATCTCAATCTTAGTACTTAGTACACAATAATAGAGGATTTTTGTGTTGGTTTCTGCTTGCCGCTGTCTTCCAGGTGATACAAGCTCTTTCTATTTACCTGTATAATCCACTTGAATGGAAATAACACATCAGATTTTTTCCAGCAGTGTCCTGAACAAGAATTACTAAAGTTGTTGATTATTCGGGTTTCCGTTAATCCGCTTTTCTGCTCTTAAGTCATTTCTACAATTCCAATAATCTCCTGACAACTTAACCCTCCAAAGGAAAACGTCTCAGGAACGAGTTATCCAGAGTGGCGAGTTAGGCATATGTATGTATAAATACATATTTATATGCGGCTGGGATATTGATAGCATGGTGACTTAAGTGATCGTGACAAGTAAAAACCAGGCTCAAGTGATCAGGATTCATTGTATTACAAGCGCGATTCAAATTTCAAAATCATTCATTGCCTAAACCATCTTTCGACCTTTTGTTCATCACATGTATATAATTGCGCCCCTTCAACCATTTCTGCTACAGTCATCTAGAGTACAAACTTTCTTTTTCTCTCTCTCTTTCTCTCTCTCTCTCTATATATAAAACTTTCTCCCGTTCTCCACTGCAGGTCATACCTCCTGCTGGATCAGATCTATCTTTATTCATGTGCGAATGCTTTACATTGAGCCATGAAGGCTATTCAGCCACAGGAGGGCATCACCAGTGAGCCTGATCCTGTCCTCGCCCAAGATCCAACACATGCTGTGTCCAGCAGGGATCACTGAATAACAGTAAGAAGCAGGAACCCTGACTCATTTTAGCCGTGTCTACTCCAGTGATGGCAATAGTATTACGCAGTGTGACTCCAGATGAAATCCAGTAACTCAGAGAGATTTGCTACCCAGGTTTTTTTCACTAGAACACCTGTGTTTACGCTTAAGATAACAACAACGATTTGCATTTATATAGTGCCATTCACATGGTGGTAAGACCACTATTTGTAGCAACAAAATGACCATCTTTAATTTTTTTAAAATCACGGAGTGAGGGTGTTGACTGGTTTAGGAAAGAGCAGGGAGTTGGGAATAGAACATCTGCCTTCGTTGAACACAGCCGCTGATGTAATGAGTTGAACGGCCTCTTACTGTGTTGTAGATTTCAATGGATCTTTATTATTGGCACAAGACCAACCAACTGATTGGGAGGTCATGGATAAGTTGAGCAGCTTAACTGAGAGGGATCACATGGATTCACTGCGTTAAGATAAAGCAGCAGGCAGTCTCCATTCAAAATTTGTGGCACTTCCCTGCTCTGGGCACATTAGCTGAAGTAGGCAGATCTGACACAAGCTACGATGCAATTGGTAGCCTGTCTATCAGTGTAGGCTTCAGTGACAAGAGTTGCCCTGCTTGTGGAGGGCTGAGATCTCCCAGACCAGCCAGAGACTTTCATCATCCTCAGAAGGATGAAGAATGAAGCAGAGATGGATAGACCCCAAGAGGAGAGGGAGTAGAGCAACAGACACAGAGAGCCCTGAGGCACTGTGTGAACAAGAAAGAGTGTCATAAAAATGGGCAAAGGGGTTAGTGGAATGGTCAGCAATACCCCTTGCGTGGCGGAGTACCCTGACACAATCACTTGTAGCTCACGGCAGCTCCAACCTGACAGTCACCTTGTGAAACAGGGTCAGCACTCCGCCCTAAGAGGTCAAGAGCTATCTCGACACAGAAGGTGATTCTCCAATGGTCAGAGGTTTCCCACTGATGCCAAATAACGGCAATTGGAGAGCCAACTTATTATGAACCTTCCTTTTCTAATGATAGCTCTGTCCACATTGGCTGCCTAAGATCCACAAAGACTTGGTAGAAGAAAAGTGGCATTGGTACTGTTTTAAGACTTTTCTCCCAGTGCCCACCTGAAGCATGGTCTCTTAGTTATTTTTCTTTCTTTGACTCAATTTTCCATTAGCTATCGGCAGTAGAAACAACACTGAGCTCATAAGGTTAAGTGAATAATTTCCTGATACTTAAGATGGTTAAACTGCATTACTGCTAACGATGAATTTTTTTTCAGCTGCAATTGTACCAAAAACGCAATGTCGTACCATTGAAAAAAGGTTAACATCCACTTAAGAAGCACATCAAAATTAAGACGTCATAAAGCCATTATATTCAAGATACTGTAGTTGTGACAGTTTTCAGTGAGTTCCATATCTCTGACTTATTGTGGGATGAGCAAACCTGCACCACTCTCACACAAGTAAACACAGTCAATTATAGAGCAGAACTTTTATTTGTACCTCAGCCTATCCCACTGGCCCACTAGGGATGTCTCCCGGGAAGATTATTATGTGAGGCTAAAACAAAAATCTATCATCACACAAAATGGCCCTGCACAACAAGTTTAAAAATTATTATAAGGTACGGATCCTAAAATAGTTTGCAGTGGGGTCACATGAGAATTGAAAATGGTGCTTATTAATCCTATTTTCCCCCATTCTAAAATATCACTGGCCTCTTGTAGATTTGGTTTTACTCAATTTCTAGTTTCACCAAGGGAGAATATATGAATCAGGACCAATTTGGAACATATTAGAGCCACAAATAGCTCAGTAGCATTGGAAAACATTTGACAATCATCTCTATAATGCTTCCGTTTTACAGTTTCTTGTTTTTTTCTTAGCTGAAAATTAGGGCACTCAGAGAGCATATTGTGTTTATTTTGGGGCATATAAACTTTTTTTTATGAGGCCTACACAGCTTGGATAAATGGGCCAATGCTTAACCTGCGTTGTGTACTTGGCACTCAGAGACATGAGACAACAACAATAATCATAGTGTGTTCCCATGAGCTGTTATAGCACTGAAACATGAAAACGGTGAGATTATATCTATAGAGGCAGAGAGAAGAAAGTTACAGCTGACAGTAGTTTATGCGTCGGAATAAAAATGGAACAAGAAAATCCCATTTATCCCATCAATCCCATTCCTTTCTTCCAATTGACTACATGTGTACAATCCTCTATGTCCTATCGTAGATAATGGAACCAACTCTCTGTCCATTTGATTTATTTACTAGATGATTTAAAACGCACAAGCAAACTTCCTGTGTGATAAAGGTCTCAAAGCTGTGAGATATCAATTCAACATCACAACCCGCATCACATAAAACTAGCGAGTTACATTCCACAGATAACAACTCTACATTCCCAGAACTCTAAAACTAACACCCACTGGAACATTTAATCATTTACATCTATACCTCTCATATTTACATCTGTACAATCTATATCTTTCAGTGTTTTAAGGACCCTAAACACTAAGCATAGCTCTGAGGAGAAATTCTATCTTGATCTAGCTTTACTCTTTTATGTAGTACTGTATTTCAGAGCATTCAGAATTTGACAAATTCTTCAATACGGTCAGAATTTTGAAGCTGGTTTTCTGTAACCGCTTTTAAGAAATACAGAAACGTAACTTCAATGTTAAGACTTAATTCAACAATTTTCCAATTTGGAATACTTTTAAAATAAATACATAGAGTAAATCTACTCTTAGGCGAAATTTCTCCACCTATGTGCCTTCTCTTGCTTTTTCTTCAATGAAAACATGCCCTATTCTGTGAGTGTTTCCTCATAACCTAAATCTTATCCCTGAGAAATATGTCCTATGGCCTAGTAATGTTTTCATTTCCTAATTCACAAATACTAAAACTCAAATACTAATTACAATAAAACTCACACAAGTTTAATTGGTATATATCGTAAAATCACTCAAGTCATACATCTGCCCAAGTCCCATTGAATTTCCTATTATTAATACATTTCAAATAACTCATACTTTGCACATGTCATATTAAATGTATGGTCCCAATTAATACAACTTATGTGAGGTTTAATGTATGAAGTAATGACTCTTCTCACCAATGGCTTCATTATCATAAATATTAACATACAAAAATATTGAAAACTCTTCATTTCTAAATACCCTGCTTCCCCTATGCTTCTCTTCCCCTTTACATCCAAAAGCTCCACTGCAGCTCTGCTTTTGATGATCCCTGCAGCATAGGAGGGGAGTGGAGATAGGGGGATGGGGAAGAAATGTCTAGCATTTACACTTTTTTCATTTCGGCTTCTAATTCGACCACACCCCAACTGAACTGCTCTTCGTGTTTACATTGGAACACACAGACACACAGATCTTTGCTCTAATGCCCTCTCTTCTCCATCAGTGGCATCTGAACAGTCAATGTTCTTTACAACTTGAATCCCATTTCAATCCAATATAACCCACCACTTATAAACAACGTTTGAAGCATTTATTACCCAATATATTCAGTTTTAGTGTTGTGTATTGGAACCAGTTCAGGGAAAACAAAAGAATTGCACAAGAACCAGAAATCAATCTAACCATTTCATTTAGACAAAATGTAATCTGTGCATGAACTTAAAAGTTATATTTTCTA